AAGATATATATTATATTTGCCCTACCAAAATAAAGGCACAGGGTGCTGCATGCAGTAGTTGCTCAATAATATTGGAGATAATGATAATAATGGAAATATATAGTAGAAGAAAAAAGCACTGGTAGATAAGAGCTGACAAAAACACAGGAGGCAGGATAGTAGTTTGGTAGTCAGCTGACAAACTGATACTAGCATATGCTGGAAAAATCAGAGTATAAAGAAAAGAATAAGAGTCATACAGACTTAGGTTAAAATCATAACTATGCTAATTACTATCAGAGTAAGTTGGAGGGAAATGTACCCGATCTTTCTAGGACTCTGAAAGATGAAGATGTAAATTGAGGATAATACCCTAACCTTGCTGGGAGAACTCGGAATGATGTATTTTAAGCATTTAGTAATGCTCTGGCCTGTGGTAGGTGTACACCTGGGCTTTCCATCATTCTTCCTACTGATACTGTTTGTGGTGTGGCTGTTAGGCACCATAGTGAGAAAGACAGTAGTCAATAATGGAGCAGGGAGTGCCTCACTGCTTGTTTTTCAGAGGATCACTGTTGTCCAGAAGAAGAAAATTTGAGAAAATCAAGACCCTGGATTTTCATCTTGCCACCAGCACTTTAGCTGTGCACTAGAATTTTTTCACAGGAACCCAAAGCAAATTCTAACTCCTAAGCTTGGCACTAAAAGTCTGATCCAGAACCTGGTCCTGGAGGCTACCACCCTGAGCCAGAGTGAGAATCAGAGGACAAAACCCAAGGAGTGCCATCACTCTGGATCCTGAAAACCATTAGCCTTTTTTCCTTATCATGTGTGATAATATTTCTTATCTCACTGATGTTATTTATTTATTTATTGGTACCAGGGATGGAACCCAGGGTGCTTAAGCCACACCCCGATCCCTTTTTTACATTTTATTTTGAGACAGTGTCTTGCTGGTTGCCTTAGGGCCTCACTAAATTGCTAACCTGGCTTGAACATGTGAACCTCCTGAGCTCATGCTCCTGAGCTGCTGGGATTATAAGTGCCCAGCTCACTGGCGTTATTTTTAAGGGTACTTTCATTTAAAAAGCTATCTTTGTTTCTCCTCAATTTAGGATATTTGCTTCAGGTGTTTGTGATAGCATAAATCAAGGGGAAACAAATGTGGCATATCATAGCTGTCAAAACCCATGAGCTTTCATTTGTCTCTTTTGCATTTCCAGCCTATAGGATTCACATGAGTAGCTCCACAATAGCCACCTTGAAGAGAACCGATTGCCAGTTCCTATATGAAGTGAGAGGAGAGACCTACTTAAAGGTAAGGAATCCACAGAGACAATTTGTCACACACATCTGGGCCATCTCCTGCGAGACTTGGCCAAGAAGGTCAAGAAGCACAGGGATGAAGACTCCTTTTCTATATGCCTCACAAAGATATGCCACCATCCCTGTAGGAGAAACCTACATGTGAGCATCAGAACTTTCCTCTGTTCAGAAAGGCCCTTAGGTCTATGACCAATATGTTGTACAACACTGCTATTTCCTCTACATAAGTACAAGGTTTGTCCTCAGTTATTCCTCCAAACCCAAGAGCTTCTTCTGTTCAGGACTTGTTTAAGTCAAAAGCCCCAATTTCCTACTCTAATGGCAAGATGCTATGTCTCAGGTCACCTCTCTTGTCAGTTGCTTTCATTATTCTGAAACTCTGGACCAACAGATTGCAAAGTATGGCCCATTACTCCTGACTTGTACACCCACCAGGCCTACTGAGACTCCACGGTATAGATCAGAAATCTTACAAGTATTGCAAATGTTTGTGATCACACTGAAGTTTGACAATTACAGCTTTAAATTCCCCATGCTGTTCCTCACATCAAAAACAGCTACCCTTGCCAGGGCGGTGGTGCACCCCAGTAATCCCAGAGGCTGGGGAGCGGGGAGGGGATGAGGATGGAGGATCACGGGTTCAAAGCCAGCCTCAGCAAAAGCCAGACGCTAAGCATCTCAGTGAGACCCTGTCTCTAAATAAAATACAAAATAGGGCTAGAGATGTAGCTCTGCAGCGGAGTGCCCCTAAAACAAAACAAAAAAACAAAACAGCTGCCCTCCAAAGCCACCAACTGTCTCCAACTGGCTCTCAGTCTGCTCTTTGAAAATTACAATCTTTTCACAACTGGTCTAAAGCCAGCTATCAACAGTTTTCTGTCTCCAGTAGCCACAATGCCCTGATCTCCAGGCTTCACTTACAAAAGCCTCCTTGTATGTAAAGGTGTCCTAACATCACACTCAGTTTTTGAGTCCTCCATAAACACATTTTACAGGTTTTTTTGTTTGTTTGTTTGTTTGTTTGTTTTTTGGGTGTGGAGAATTGAACCCATGGCCTTGCAAATGCTTGGCATTTGCTACTTGGCTACATTTTCAGCCCATAAATGGACAATATATTTTCTACATAAGAGCATTCCTCTGAAAATAGAAGTGACTTATAGATTATAGATTACTGCAGTCTAAACACAGTCAACCGGCCACTATTTTTAAAAGTGAACACACACACACACACACACACACACACACACACTCACAGCCATCTATTCTCCTTTTTGAGTATAAGCTTTAGCAAAAACAGTTTCTAATAAGGTTATGTTTATTTCATAGTCCCCAGATGAGCCAAACAAATGTCACTCAAGGAGTGCTTATTATGGTGAATATGTGTTTATAATTTACACATTTAATTTAGGTAAAGTAACAAAAGTCTTGTGACAAAACTTT